ACATCGGGCTGTAAATGAAGTCAGTGTTACTCCCTTCACTTTCAGCTGCTGAGAAAGACGCCCGGGGTTGTGACGTGGAAACAGTTAGTGGCGACATTGCTTATGTAACCGCTGCTTTATAAACTGTTGTCGGTTGTTACACACTGCAAAAATGGCCAAATCAAAAAACAACAAGATGCAGGAAGTCTTGTTTGGCATTAAATGGTGCAGACAAGCATGAGACAAAAAAACAAGCCAAGCCACTCGGAGTTCAGGTAAATTTATTCTTCGAGCATAGAGGTAAACAACCACATATCATCTCTGTGTCTTCATTAGAGTCTGCCCTCTCCAAACATTTCAGATGTGCGCTTTCTTTGGCTTGAAAGCAGCAAATTTGGTCAACCAGGAGTCGGATCTACAAATTGGAGGTGCAGCTACGACCGCCAGCGTGACTTTTAGCGGCTCTTTAATGCATGTGCACAAGTTCCACATGAGTCAACGGGGCGCTTGTGCGAGACAAGCACGAGCGGGGGAATCTTTCAGGAGAAAATATATATATATATATAAGGACGGCCGGGTCGTTGCGTGATAAGTGCTTCTTGTAAGGGCGCACGAGGGAGAAGGATGAGTGTGTGTGTTGCGGTTTGTCAGAGCCGGCGCCCTGTTGCACACACACCGGGTAAAAAAAAAAAAAGATAGGGTGGGTTGGGGAGTGGGTGATGGAGTGTGTGAGGTAGCGGAGAAAGGGGGGGAGGCGGCATGATGGAGTGCTGGATGGAGGGAGGGTGGGGGGGTGATGAGTGTGTGCTCACAGTGTAAGTGACACCTCTCCTCCTCAGACAGATTGTCTCTCTCTCCCAGTAATGGGGACCCCGTTAGAGCACCTTTTTCCCTCCTTTTCTTCCCACACAGACGCTCCGTCTCCCCCGTCCTCTGTGACAATTCCTCTTGTTTATTTATATTTTCTGCAGAGATATTCCCCCAATTTGCCTGCATTTCAATGTCTTTCAGTTCGCCTCTACGTTTTTTTTCCCCCCGCCTCTTTTCTCTGCATAATTTTTAATCAATCTTCACCTCTTCCTAAAAACTGCTGATTTCTGTAAAGCAGTTTGGAGAGAGAGAAGAAGAAGAAAAGAGAAATAGAAAAAGAGAGATCAGTAGGGATGAAAAGAGAGAGAGAGAGAGAGGATATCAATATTCCCACTGCTGGTGGTATCCTCGGAAATATTTATTTTTTTGGCTGAATCTGACAGGGACGATTCTGCATAACCACGGAGCCCATTTACACTCTGTCCAACATGCTCTTCTGTGCCAATCAGACCGAGATGATTCATATGCATACTTACTTTAAGGTCGCACATATGCTGTCGGTGGATCTGAGGACACACAGGCTCAAAAGAACCACTTATACTTTCTCACAAAAGCCCCCCCACACACACCCACTTACGCCTTACACAGGTATTTTGCGCCAGACCCAAACATGTCGCTTTTTCTGAAATTTAATCAACCGCAAGTGTATGTCAGAGGTGCGTGTGTGAGACAGTGGATGTATGTGATTACTCGTGTGCGCCTGTGCCCTCACTAACAATCATCTCGGCAAACCAGATCAGAGGCTATCTCTCCGCTTCAGAGGCGCCACGCTGGCGGGAGAGCGGCACGCAATCACACGGACACCTCAGACAAATAGGCTTCATAACTTCTCTGTAACAAACAATCACAGGGTCCTGAGACCCCTATCCCAAATGAAATCTCCCGCACCTGCGTAGATGCACGGATACAAAGGAATTTTTGATGCTCCTCGTCGCCAGGTACGAGTCTCCATGGTGATAGAGGGGGGTCGCCATGGAGATGGAGATGGTGTTCTAAACAAGGGAGGCATTTTCATGAAAAGGCAGGGAAATGGTTTTGTTTTCGCTTTCATCACAGGGAAATCTGTCGTTTATGGAAATCGTCGGTTGATGTCACAGCTATACAGCGCAGCGGGCAATTTCCGTCACAGCTCAAAGTGAACTCCAGCTCCACACTGTGCCGTGGCGCGCAAGGTGTTCGCATTTCTGTTTCCGTCATTAGCGAACTGATCTCCAAAAGGGCATGAAGATTTAACATTCCTTTCAACCTTTTTAGCGAGATTAGTGTATTAGTTTTGCGTCACTTGGAGTGAAAAAAGAGAATGGAGCTCCGTGCAACAGTCTGGGCACCCCGACAAGTTTAAACTCTTTTACCTCATTAGCACATTAGGAAAGGCCAGTTGCAAGGTACGAATTTCAAAGCTGTATAAATGATCTGACTTTTCAAACCACCATCATCGCCTCTAAGCAGCTGCCCAGCACTCGAAAAATGAAAAAACTAATGCCCATGAAGCAAAAGAAAGCTATGAGAAGAGAAAAGAGCAGTTGCAGGTGACTGTTTCCATTGTTCATAATGTTATTAAGAAATGGCAGCTAACAGGAGAGGCGGAGGTCAAGTTGAGGCCTGGAAGACGAGGAACACTTACCATTAGAACTGCTCATAAGAATCCAGCTGTGGCTCAGGTGGTAGAGTGGGTCTTTCATTAATCAAAAGGTTGGCGGTTCGACCCCTGGCCCTTTAATAGGCTTAAGTGTCTTTGGGCAAGTGACTCAACCCTGAGTTGCTCGCAATTAATACGTTGCATGGCAGCTCTGCCACCAGTGGTGTGTGTGAATTGGTAAAGCGCTTTGTAGAACCTAGCTCAGGTTAAAAGGCCATTTATCGTTGCTGTAAAGGCTAATCAAAACCCCCGCTGGACTGCAAAAGAGATCAAGATTTAAAGACTCTGGAGTGATGAATTCATGGAGGAGTCATCAGAAAAAAAACGATCCTGTATCCTCATCACAAAATTCACCCTCACAATGAAGTTCAAATAGAACTTTTTTTGGCTGCAATGAGCAATGGTATGGTTGGAGCAAAAAGGGTGCAGCATTTCTTAAAAAGAACACCCCTCCAACTGTTAAACACAGAGGCTGATTGATCCATAGACTGTATAAAAGATGGACGTAGCAACCGGCCCTGAAAAATGAAGCCAACCCGGAAGTGCCAAAAACCTGCAATATCACTACGTCCGCTAGTCCTGGCTCCAAAAAGCCCTGGCTCCCATAGAAATGAATTGGAAAAGAAGTGATCACAGATCACGAAATACTGCATTCCTACAGCTCAGGATTTTTTAAAAATTAGTTTTCATGGTCAAATCCAGAGATCAGGTGGCCAATCTGAAAATAAATCAATACTGAATTTTTTAAAAATTGTCAAATGTTTGCGGGGCAAGGGGCGTGGCCGGCTTGATTGACAGTTGGCAGCGACGATGCAGATGAAGCGAGCAGAAGGCGGTAAATGTGGGCGGGCAGAGAGGGCCTGCCTCTCAATCCGTCTGACCAATCGCTGCTCTTATGGCTCCGCCCCCCTCTGACGATTTTTGCGTCACTGGCTCCAAAAATCCAAGATGTCAACCAGGAAGTAGTAAAATCCTGGCTTCATTTTCTCAGTGCAGAAACCAACGGGTGACGTCACGGTAGCTACGTCCATCTTTTATACAGTCTATGGATCGATCATGCTTTGGGCTTGTGTTGCAGCCGGTAGCGCAGGAAATATTTCACTCATAAAAGGATAAATGGATTCAATTATATACCTGCAAATTCTGGAGGAAAACTTGACACCGTCTGCACAAAAAGAAATATACGATGAAAAAAAAAAAAGGATCCGACAATGACTCTGAACACACCTCAAAATCCACAATAGACCTGCTCAGGAGGCTCGAGCTGAAGGTTTTGCCCCGACCTTAACACCGTAGAGAATATAGACCTCAAAAGAGCAGTGCACGCAAGACAGCCCAAGAATCTCCCAGAACTCGAAGCCTTTCACAGGAAGAATGGGCAAAAGTCCTCCGAACAAGTACTGAAAGAGTCTTAGCTGCTACGGAAAGCGTTTAAAGGCTGTGATCCGTACCAAAGGAGGAGCACTGACCCTGCAGCGGGAGCAAATTTTATTTCAGGCCCTTTTTTGGGGGTTATTGTGCATAGAAAAGCTTAAATCTTACTTTAAATAATAAAGACTTTGATACTTTGCGATTCACAAAAACAGATATTTCGATCAGTTTGGCCGAAACTTCTGCTTATGTTTCCTCTGCTACTCCTACCAACATGTTTGCCACCTGCCAGGTAACCGCTAACACACTTTCCACTTTTGTTGCCAACACTGCAGTGCCAAACAATAGTACTAGAACAAGATAAACTGTCCATTTCAACTACCCGCTGTAGCACATGTCTACATCTATCTGCTCTACATGTAGAAAGCCATGCTAATCTCATTACTCCCACTAACGCACCGGCAGCATTCAGCTCCCTGGCAGTAAACTCTGCAGCTATATATCCTCTAGTTTTAACACGTCAAGAATATCCAAACATCAACTCAGAGCAATGTCACCCTAACATGTAGCTACTTCAGTGTCAGAGCTCTGAAGGATCCTTTCAACTCTTTGAGCATCAAGAACCTCATTGGAAATGCTGTAACATCAACACCTCATGAATGTCTCTTCCGACTTCACACGCGCCGCACCATCTAAGCATCCACCCACAACAACCTTCAAAGTACCACTTCAAAAATCCAAACGTCACAACACGTAAGGTAACCATGATATTATTTACTCCGAATTATTCTTAGCGGATTTTTTTTGGGGGGGATGTGACCATTCTCGGAGCCCGTGTGAGCTGTTATCTGTTGGAATAATTCATTATTTGCCATCTCTCTGCTTTTGATATGTAATTTAGCAGTCATCTGTGGAAAATTTAGTGTGAGAATTAGACCAAATGAAAGCACAAACACAGACTATCGCATCTGATGTTTCTAAATGTGACATTTACATAATTTCTTGCTGTTAAAAAGTGTCATCATTACTCATTTCGCAGTATGTGGATGTCTGCGCCTGCTGATTATATACTTCTACATTAGATTTTCTTTTTTTGACTTTATTGCGATGCAACTCACCTTCCTCCTCCGTCCCCCCTCAGGCTGTAGACTACGAGAGCCGGAGCTCCTACTCCTTCTCTGTGGAGGTCCTTAACCCCATAGTGGACCCTCGCTTCCTCCGCCGAGGCCCTTTTAAAGACCGGGCTTCGATCCGAGTGGCAGTCCTGGATGCCGATGAGCCGCCGAGGTTCTCCCGGGCCCGATACCACATGGATGTTTCCGAGAACTGCCCTCCGGCCTGCACCGTGGGCCGAGTCAGCGCCGTGGACCCTGACACCGGTCTGACCAATAATATCAGGTGCAGTATAAGGTCTTGGTCCTCTTGTAACATCTCAGCATTTAGATTCCTATAAATTGAGCTCATAAAGATAGAAAATACGAGTGGAGCAGGTCCTCCTTTACTCTTTACGAGGATCTTGGAAAGAAGAACTCGGCTGTTTTTGTACAGATTAACTTCCTGTAGAGCCCGGTTAGCCGTTTCCACTCCTAATATTTAGTGTACAGACATTAGAGTGGTATCAGGAAGTAAGTAAATAAGCCTATTTCCCACAATGTCCCTATAAGTATTTACTGTTTATGAACTCATAACAATACCGCTTTAACGGCAGGCGTTTTTACTGCTTAATGACAAATTAAGCATTTAATGCTGCCGAGAGCCATATTTCTTCCTTTATTTTAGAGGATATCATTAAGTTTTAACATTTTTAATCAAGGGATATGCAGTCTTTCTTGGATTGAAATTCAAACTCCACAGTTAAAGGAAACAACAGCAAGAGCTAACCAAATAAATATAATCCAACTAAATGCCCACACAGTGTTCCCTTGAGCCAGACAGTAACCACAGACGCTCGCCGGTTCCGCGCTTTCGCTCGTGTTTGCAGTTGGTTTTGTCGCGAACGGTTCGAGGAGGGAGGCGAGCGATTTGTCTGTAACAACCACAGAAAAGCGTGTCCCAATTAAAAGCAAAAAGTGCTAAGAGTGAGCGTGTGGGGAAGAATGATAGTTGGTATATTCATAGAGATATTCAGATAATCAGGAGCACTTCAAAAGAGCTGCTATCAGGAGCGATAATCTCGCTATATTAATTCTTTGGCCATTTGAATGCCGACTTCCTTATCGCTCCCTCGCACACTTGCCCCGTCTGCTTCTTTCACTCGGCACCCTGCTGCCATCTCTGCTTGCTTCCTCCCTTCACTCTTTCTTTCAACACTTCTCTCTGCCCTCTCCTCTTTTCACTCACCTTGCTTCTTTCAAGCGTTTTTTATTTTTTTAGTTTCTATTTTTTTCTCCTCTCACCCTGCTTTTCCTCACCCTCAGGTTCTCCATTGATCCTCAGTCAGACCCAGAGGCTCTGTTTCGTATCACCCCGGACACCGGCCTCATCACCACGGCCATGGAGCTGGACCGGGAACGTGAGCACTGGCACAACATCACAGTCATCGCCACCCAGAGAGGTCAGAGGTCCCTCTTTGTACGCAGCTTAACACCGAGACATCATTAGAGCGTGTTCATTGGATTATTTCTTTTATTAGAGCTGACATTTTTCAATGCAACCAACATTTTTCCCCACCTCTGACACCTGAGCCCACTGATGAGTAAGAGGTTTAAAGGAGTGTGTTGTACGGTGTCTGAAAAGCGCAGTATCCGCTGTGTGATGCACTTCACTAAGCGGCTTAGCTCTCGAGTCATCAAGCCATGGGTGGGTTGGGGGGCTGAATGCTGTTTGGCACCACGAACGGTTTGTTGCAACGGGCCTCGAGAATCAATTGATCTTTATTGTGTGAGTTATCTGATGCTGCAATTGATCCGTTCTCATAAGGATTCAACTGGAAACACAGACTTAAGGCAACAAATCGAAGTCGAGCTACGCAGCGCTTTAACGTGAGACCGGAGAGGGGGAACGGTAATCACCTTTCAGATTCCAAGTAAAAATACAGCAAACAGTGAGACACATGAAAGCAGGAACATCAAAAGATGTGTTTAGTTGCCGTTTCGGTTTTTGATCAAGGTGAGCCAACTTTGCCGATTGCTTCTTTTAAAAATCAATAATTCAACTTGAACGAAGGAATCAAGAAACTCCGGGGTTGCCACGTCGTGCTGAGAACAGTTTAAGCGGCGTGAGGAGACCCTGTGCAGTTTTATGCGGAGGTGGTTTTAATGTTGTGGCTCATCGGCGTCTGTAAAAGCCTTTAAGCCATTTGGCCTTGACACAGGTAGTGTGAATAGTAGCACACCTACTCGACAGTGATAGTGTGAGAAACAAAACAGATAATGAAGTGGTTCGGTTTAAAGGCTGGCAACACGGATTAGTTTCCACAAATCCCTTGAAAGAATGTCGTGGAGAGCTGCCATGATTCACGTTATCTTAAATAAGAAAACAAACACATTGCTGGGTCGATGGAAAATGTATTATTGCAAACACTATGGAAAACACAAGTGAAGTGTATCGCTGCAATAGGGAGAGAGAGAGATCACAGCCCTTTGTCTGGTGGAGAAGAACAAGATTGACATCTTATATATAAGATAACTGACACATAACTCTCCTCTTGTTGGCTCGTTGTAAAAGGTTGTAAGTTTAAAACTGATGGTATGTTTTTCCATTTGTAAAAAGTCCTCAGACAGCACAGCTTCCGAGAGATAAGACTAAGGCATCTCCTTAGAAGAACTTGTAGCCTCGGTTACAGTCTATAAATTGACAAAGGAGCCTTTTTCAGACTGAAAAACTTGAGATCTTTATATTTGACTCTTGTACTGTAACAGACACATCTCACATTACTATAAGTAGCTCTCAGCCTGGAACTCTGAACACTTAGTTTCTCTGAAAACATTTGAGAAACTGATCATTAATAGAACACTGCCTGATGATTAACATTTAAATAAATAGGTTTCACAATGACCAAACCAACATTGTATAAGTGCATCTTAAGTCTATGCCTCTCTTTTTGAAGATCATTAGTTTCTATTAGGAAAAAAGGGGTCATCAGTTTGTAGTTTCATTTCTAAAAAGGGGTAAACGATCTCCTAAAGCAGCTGGCCACTTCAGTTTTTCGCAAATATTACTCAAACTGGAGTAAACTTGAATTGTCTGGAGACAATATATGGGGCTTTAGTGTGCGTTCAAGGCAGCATGATGCTTTACTTTAAGAGCCGAGTCCATGTTAAAGAAGGGACACGTCACCCAGGGAGAAAATGCGGCTCACTTGTTGTTTGCATCTTGTTTTTGATCAACAGCGGAGGCTTGTTGTACAGATGCGATGATTTTTTTTTTTCCACTGGATTTGTTGACAGTAAGAAAAATATTAAATATCACCACATTACCTTTTCTTGAAATGTCCTTCAGCTAATATAATTACAGGTTGTCAAGCAAAGCCTTGACTGTTCATTCAAAAGCAAATAATTTATAGTTAAGCTTACGAGACCTTCTTTTTAACTCCGCAAATTATGACTGTGAGCAATAAGACTCTCAGAAGTGAAGATGGAAGCGGCGCGTTGCCGGTTTAGTATCTGATTTTCATGCAAAAGCCTGCTGTTTGCATCCCATCTGCTGCAAACAATCAAAGATCTTTTCTTTTTAATCCAAAACATCATCAGGGTTTTCTTTTTTTGTGTGTGTGCCTAACCAAATCCGAACCTTAACAACAGCAGCAGCAGCGGATCAGAGAAAAGTCACATGAATCATCTTACTGGTCACTGTATTTTTGAAGCCGCTGACAAAAGCTGTCGTCCTGCTGATGCCGGGTGCCGGCTTAGAGAACCGCTCTGACGTGTGATGTGTTTGAAGGCAATGGAAAAACAACCTGTTGCGCTCGTTTGGCGTTTGTATTAAAATTAACACCTGCATCCTGTTAAATCTTGGCTAAGCTCCAGTGTATTTTTTTGTATTTTTTTTGGCAGGTGACAAGTCATTAAAGCCCTAAAAAGAACAATCCAACTGGTTTGTGTGAAAAGCGAAAGTGTTGTCAGAGAAGACTGTCCGGCTTCTGCTGTGCACAAGGAAAGGAAAGTTGTTTTCCTGCCAAAGCCTGCTCTGGACAAAGTTAATCTTTACTTAAAATCTACTCAGGGGTCCTCGTGGCAGCAATGTGCTGGTAGGACTGTGGCGGCGGCACAGTGAGTGGCTGTCTTGAATAATGAGCTCTATCTAATAAACAGACTGTTGGAGGCTGTGTTGACATAAAGCTCAGTAGGGGCCCTGCCATGGCCACGGGCAGGCCAGCTCACCCAGCGGCAGTACAGCGAGAGCTCATTTTCGGCTTTTCAGCGATGGAAACCAGTTGCTGTCATCCATGACACAGTGTTACCGCTCAAGGTCTGAAAGCATGTTGTGGGAGTGAATGTGTGTGTGTGTGTGTGTGTGCGTTCGTCTCAATTTGCAGAAACCGTGGTCCGCTGTGTTGCACGGTTGCCTGCCTAGATAGATGATGTGTGCTGGTGAGCGCGGATTGTGTCATAGCAGCCCGAAATGTAATGGTGAATGTTCAGAAGGCTCAGAGGATGACTTCATGCTTTTCAAGCACGGGGCTGTGAGAACTTCATGTTCGAGTGTGTGTATAGAAAAGTGAATGGGGTGTGGGGAAACCTCATGCCAATCCATTTAAACTGCGTCCTTGTGCGGCTGCATGCAGATTGACTGCTTTTTACATCCCGCCTCTGCTTCTTCTCTCTCTTTCTTAAAAACACGCACACACACACACACTTGACACCGAGAGATGCTTTGGCTAAGAATGGAACAGTTTGATGTGGAAAAATCTGACTGCTATGGAAGCATCAGTTATACTCCAGCTGGGAGCCTGTGAGCTGTAACACAAGCCAAATGAAACCAAATGTACTACTGTTTATTTAGCCAATTGTGTGCTCGCTAATGTGATCTGAGTGTTGTTGAAGTTTTTGGACAAAGACCGAAATGCTTGATCGTGCCTATGAGGGCAATTGAATGAAATTAATGGAGTGCAAACTTGCACCCCTTCTGTGCCTATTGTACATGCTGGTGTTTCTTTGCAACAGGGGATTGTATTCATGTAATTTTTCATATACAGCTGTGAAGGCTGTGTTGTGACATGCTGCTCTCTCCTTTCAGATAATCCCAGCCAGGTGTCCAGAGTTCTGGTTGCAATAGAGACCTTAGACCTGAATGACAATGCACCCGAGCTCGACAGGCAGTACACAACCGCCATGTGTGACTCATCCTCCATCGGGCAGGTCAGTATGTGTGAAAATTACCGTAGAAGTTATTTGTGGCTGCCTCTATATGTGACATTATACACTGTCTTTAGTTTGAGTGGAATGAGAGATTCCTATGTAAACTACTGCAGTCTATTAATCAATCTTTTTCCACTACATGACCAAAGAACAGCTTTGACTTGTCACAGGTTCTGCGTTTTGTTCACCCACCCACCTCGGGGACAAGTTCCTGGAACTGCATTTTGGCACTGCTCAGTCCTCGGTTCAGTTTAGGGTTCTTGGCAGTGCTGGAGATTGTAATTTGTCAAGAAGATGTGAGAAGAATTTAAGTAATGCCTACGGAGCAGCAGCTCTGGTGCTCTGCGAGCGTCGGCAATGGAGGTGTTTTAGAAGGAGTCCAACACACAATCACCGCAGTCGAACATGTAAAACAGAGAAATACACTTGCTGCGTGGGGCGTAGCGCGAGTAAAAACACAAGCCTCCGTAGATGGCGAGGTTGATGAATAAAATAGGAGTGTATCTGTTCTGTTAGATGATGATGCGGATGAATGGAAACCACAGCTGAAATGCTTTCTGTGTAGAAACAGCGTTAGTACCGAAGCCTCGCATGTTTCTTAAGAAGTCAGGTCATAACCTATCAAGTTCCTGAATTTAAATAAGTGTTGTATGAGATGATTTAAGACCATTCCAGTGTGTAGTCCTGGGTTGAATCGGGGACAGTGGGGGTTGGAAATACGAGGTGTGTCAGAAAACTTCCAGGACTGGTGTCACAAAAGAACTACAAACTACCAGTTTTCCCCTTCAGACGATCAACCAGCACGTCTACAAAGAGATCCTGCGGCGTTTGCTTCGTTCGAGAAGAGGCGAGAGTCGTGGCAGGACAAGTCATGGCTGCTTCACCATGACAACACGCCTGCTCACAACGCCCTGAGCATCCCACAGTTGCGTGCTGGAGCAACCTCCCTACTCACCCGACCTGGCTTCATGTCATTTTTTCCTCTTCCCCAAGCTCAAGGGGGTCATCACGGGGACCCGTTTTGAAGATGTGGACGACATCAAGATGGCTGTGACGACGGAGTTGTGGAGGATCCTGGAAGAATCCTTCCAGGAGTGCATGGCGGTGTGGCAGAGAAGGCTGGAAAGTGTGTTAGACTCCAGGGGGATTACTTGGAAGGGGGGAAACTTGTAGTTTGGATTTGAAATATATCTTTTGTGACACCTGTCCTGGAACTTTTCTGACACACCTCGTATGTCGTAGTTTTCTTTGATACAAGAATTGACTTCGGGATTATTGTTCTTCCTAGTCTTATCTTAAAAAACGGCCACTTCCATCAGGTGATACTGTTGCCATAAGGAGTTATATGTCGTCTACAACCATGCTTTGCCTGAAACTTTTCTGACACACCTTGTAAACAAATTCTACACATTTGACCACATTTTTAATCTGGGATGGTTAAAGGTAAAATTATTGTGTTGAACTTAACAAATACTTTGGTTTATGAGCTGTACACGTGCTAAACTAAAGCGGTGAATATAGAAAACATTACACCTCCATAACATCAGCATGTTAGCACATACGGTCCATCCTGTATGTGCTTTTACGCGCCGTGTACAACCCATATAGCGCGTAGGTGCCTGCATAATCAGATACGGTGGTTACCATTTTTGTGTCAGGCAACATATGCAAACGTACTTTATGCGCCCTATACAAATCACACAACTACAACACGAACAGCCAATCTGCAAACACGTCACTGTGTTGTCAGGCGAGGAGTTAGATAAGAGGGTCGTGCTGTCAGATTGATTCATTTCAAACAATGATGTGTCCTACAAAGGAACATGAAGTACTTCAAAACAGATTTCCTTCAAAATAAGGACGCGTATTGTACAAAAAAAAAAAAAGCCACGCCTATTCAAATACAGGAGCATACGGAGTGCAGTAGCACAAAGCTGTATCTATTCAGTTGTGGCACCATGCAGCTACAGCATGCCCATTCACCATGGAGGCAGGTGAATCCTCCATGGCCTGTTATCAGAACACAGCAGCTATTCACATTGTAATTAAACTTGAGCCTCCTCTCAGACTGCCTCCCTCCTCACCGCCATCCTTCATGCTTTATTTGTGCTCCTGTCTATTTTTCTGCATCACGCTTTCCTTACTTGATCCTGTCTCAATTATAGAAATCATCTCTTTGCTCCTCGGTCTCTCCTTGGAAACCATCCTTTGCTCTCTTTTTTTTTTTTCTTCTTCCCTCCTCTCCTCCATCCTCAGTATTCCATGCTGGCTCCATCACTATAATTTGGTGTCTTGGCCCATCTGTTGTTTTTGCTGGTGTTTTCATTGCTCTGCTTGTGTCTTTGTTGCTTCGCCACTAAATCTGTGATTCTATGGCAACCACTTTGATTTGTTTTTGCCTGTGATGTTCATGTTTGTGTCTGTGTATACTGTTATTTGAGCGAGCGGGAGACTGTTCAAAAAAACAAAAAATAAAAAAAAAAAAGAGGGGAAATTATGATATCTTCCCATGTGTTGTGTATGCACGTCTGTGTATGACAAGTCATTAGGCACAACACTTTTGAATATTCACACACAGCAGCTCAACATAATGCGACTGAACACAGCAAATCTTATCAAGGCCTAGAGACGCTGACTAACACGCAGAGCATGCGGCACCCATCATCCCCGCATTCAGCCTCGTAACTAGCACTCGAAAGCGTTCCTGAAAGAGCGTCTTGCATAATGACGACCAGAGTTTTTCATTAAAAAGAAATTACCCATCAGCTTAGGGCTGCGGGAGATTTCTTTCAGATTAATTTTGTTACGATTGTCAATGTAGACTTGTGCAGATGCTATTACTAAATTGAAAGGCACACTGCAGCGTACCCCGTGAAAGGCGATTCACGTCAAGCGCGGTTATTTATGTGGCGTGAGCATCCGACACAGTTCGCTTGTGTCTCCGTACTAATTGTTGGGCTTGTTTTTTTTTGATTCCTGCCAACGTCAGCTAATGGTTTGTAGCTAAAAAGCAATCTCTGTGTAAGTGTCTTTGCCTCATTCCTTTTCGTTTTTTTCCCTCTATGCATCCGAGCGCACATTCACGCCGTCCCCCTTCGCCCGGCGCCTCCTCTGCTCTCTATCTCTGTGTTTCAGGTGGTGCAGGTGTTGCGGGCGATTGATAGAGATGAGGGAGGGAATGACAGCACCGTGTATTTCAGCATCCCTCCGGAGTCCAGCGCTGCCCTCAACTTCAGCGTCAGGGACAGCGGTGGTAGGCACTCAATCTTTTCCTCTATGTGAATTCCTCTTAATTCCCTTTTTTTTTTTTTTTTCTAGCTCCCTTGGCAGGCACGCTGTTTTTTTTCCCACTTTTTTAAGGCTCTTAATCCCACATATTTTTTCCGCCTTTCTCTTTCCATCTTTGTCTTTTCTCCCATTCTCTTTTTCTCTCACCGTCCTCTCAAAAACCCTCTGCCTCTTTAACTCCCCCTTCCCTTTTTCTGTCTCTGCCTCTCTCTTCTACCATCCATCTCCCAACTCTGGTGGCCCCATTGTTTTGCTTTGTTATCCTCCTCTCTTTTGTTCGTCCCTCTTGTTTGCCTTCCCATATTCTCTACATCCATCTTCTCCTCTCCACTACCAAGTACACTTACGGTTCCCACTGAAAAGCTTTTGAAGAAATCAGAGCTGCTTCATTTGATTCACTTCAGCGGAATTGAATTTAGCTACTTAGTATTTGTTTCTAGTTTCCCCCAAAAAATACTGCTTTTTCTGTCCCGCTTCCTCGCACAAACGCACAGACAGTTTTAGTGCATGTTATACTAAAACGTATACGGACGTGAAGCATCCGTTTTGGCAAATGTTCAAAATGCATGTGCCACGCGAGCTCAAGATATCAGTAGCATGATGAAGTGTCTAAAATTAGAATTTGAATTTGAATAAAACTGTATTAATCCCTTCGGAACAAGACCTCAGGGAAATTACTACACCAAAAAAACATATACATATTTTATATATATAATGTTTTAAAAAAGGTAGTTTTATTTTTTTCGACTATTGGAATCAACTAACACAACACTGACATCAATATTAGGACAAGATAAACTAATCTAAGCTAAGATAAGATGATATAAGATGAGAAATTTGTCTTGGGTGATAATGTTACAGTACAGCTGCAAAATCACAATAAATAACTTCACATACAATAAAACAATTCTGATCACTAACTACTCAGTCATATTAAGTAGATATAACGAACATTTACACATCCAGCTCACATCAAACATTATTACCATTCATTTCATATCCTGTTTCTGGCCACCTGCTGATTGTAAATCTAACACTAACACGACTTTTAGCTTTGTTTTGGTCTCCACCAGCTTCTAAGGGAAATATCTCCTCAGCTGTCATATGTGCTTCAGTACAAGGCATCTGGACGTTTTTGGGTTTTTTTGCCCCTTGAAGATGTTTCTCCTCTGATCTAAGCGGATTCCTTGATTCTAAACGACTGGTGGGGAGTCTCAGGTATTTATCTTCCTCCCCACCAATCAGTTCGAACCGAGAAAGCCTCTCGGATGAGAAATGAAACGTCTTCTCTCAGGGTTAACGTGACCCGCATGACTGAGAATCTGCACCCTTTGTCTCTTTAGCGGCTAAATGCTTCAGTCGGCGGTTGGTTCACCTGCTAATTGCTAACTTTGATTGCCTGCTGATGTTGCTGTCAGGTAATGTGTTACCTGACAGTTGCTAATTAGTTAGCTAAAAGACCCTAATGCACTCCATAGAGCTGAGGGGAGCTGCAGAGTTGGGTGATAAATCTCACCGCTACAAGTGGCACCTTTCATATGACGCATAGTTTTTTTTTTTTCTAAATCTACCTTTTGTTAAGATATGAAGGTATTTCAAAAAGTTCTCGGCCTCACCAGAAAGATTGTTGTCGCGTTATTTTTCAATATAGTCCCTTTAAAATTCAATAAACTTGATGTTGGAGCTTTGATATCCCTTCACGGATGAAGGTCACATCTTTAGCCACCAGATACTTCTCGACAGCATCATCATCACTGAAAATGGCGACCTACAGCTAGAAGTCAGACGGTGCAGGTTGGGTGATTAAGTTTCATGGGAAAACAGTTCAAAACAACATTTTGCGACCACTGCCACCTGTGTTGTGTGGATGGGTGCTTGTCCTGGAAGAACAGCCGCCAGCTCAAAGCTTTCCTCTCCTTTTGTCTTTGATTGCTTCAAACATTTTAAGGTGGCAATGATATAAAGCTTTGTTATGCCCAAAAATGTGAGTTATGCCCCTTTCTTCCAGGTGAGGCGGAGAACTGTTTGAAGTACCGTCGTAACACTGTTTATCCATACAATATTAGACGGATCGTACCGTTTATAAATTATAAAAACAAGCATATGATGCCTGTTGGCTGTGCACACTTTTTTTTTTTTTTATCAACTGCTGATATTTTTTGCCTAATCCGATGTCTGATGTCTGATTACGGCCCTCAACAGCGTGATTTGTAATTACTGTCCTCAGCAGCTGATAATGGGAGTACCCTTTGGCTATCTTTGGTACCAAACCGGCGCTAATTGTTCCCATCGTGACAAAACCACGAGGAGTGAACCTGCACTGGCTGGATCGGGGAGGATAAACTCAATGTCATGTGGAATCAGAGGCCACTTTGATGTGTCAATCCGCGGCAGAACAAGAGAAACAAGAAACCCGTGCCCCCCTGTTCCCGACACGGACAGCTTGTCTGACAAAAGCACGCCACATCATTTGCCTTGTTAAAAAAGATGATGATTTGATCTGCGATTTGGATCACAGAAGATTTTTTCGATAGTCGCGTCTGTCACTTTTGTGTTGCCATTCATGCTGATGAAATGTTTTCCACACTGTGTCTACACGCCCTCTTATCAATGACAGATTTTTTGTAGCCTTGTGCATTCATTTTTGGGAAAAAAAAAAAAAAAATCTAAAAAGAAACGTCCCTCACAGATACCAACGGTTCTTTCTCACGAATATAAAAAGAATTAGATCAATATAGGCTATTACCTTTTTGCTTGTTGCTGCACCCTGTCCTTTCAAATTGTTGAGAGTTAGCCTCTCTTTATTGATCACAGTATCTCAAAAGAGCTCAAAGATGTGCGCACTTACGATGTTTTCCCATTTGTGGGCCAATATAAACATCTTGTAAAGCTCAGTGTTTTGGATGTGCTGCCTCGGCTCTGCACATACTGTACTGTGTCATTCCATTGTGGAGTGGCAGTGCATTACTCAAACAATATTTGGGATTGTATTTCTAAATGTGAAAGTATATCCGACTTTATTTTTAGCCAACTGGGAGTCATAAATCATAAAGAGTGGCTGCAACAGAAAGGATACAATCTGCCCTGCTTTAGACACTTTAGTAGATTCTTCCCATTACGTCAAATTAGCATCACCGTTATTCTCGTGTGGAAAAAGTGTCGTTTCAACGTTAGACAAAGTTCCCACATTATAAAAGGTGTGAAATAAAAAGAGTAAAAATAACAGAGGAGGAAGGAATCAGCAAAGTCAGATATTTTTCGCCTGCTCCGTTCCTTTGTGGTTTAAATCAGTCAGCGGCTGACTGGAATCGCAAATTTCACAAACATGAGCACAGTGAATTTTCTAAATTGTAACCTCCTGCTGCCATCCAGCACAGAAAATGGAAAATTGCACCGTGCAATTAACTGTGGAATGATTACAAGTGTCTTCCTCGCTGTCTGTCTCCCTTCAGGCCCCACAGCCAGCCTGGTGCTGCTGTCCCAGATCCAGCCTCTGTCCCGATCCTCATCCTCCACCCTGACGCTCTACGTGCCGCTCGTCCTCAGGGACGGGACGTCGGGCCTCACCAGCACCGGGACGGTCACCGTGTCCGTCTGCCCCTGCCTGAGAGGAGGCGCGAGAGCCGGGGAGAAAGAGAAGGACAAACAGGCGGAGGGCGAGTGGGACTGGGAAAGAGAGGCGGTGTGTCTCCCTCAGCAGTCCACGCTGCCTTCGCCTGGGCTCAGTACCGCCGCCCTGCTGGCTATCCTGGCTTGTGTCGCTACGCTGCTGGGTAAATGCTCTGATTCAAGTGTCTCTTAGCCAGCTCATATGGCGGCTCAGAAGTGTCACAACAAAACAAAAGCCACAACACAACCAAATTAACCACAACACAACCAAATTAGCCGCAACACAACACAACGGCTGTAACGGAAGTTGTTTTTTTTTTTACCCGGAAGTTATACTGTTAAGTGCGCAACACCACACGAAGTGGGCAGAAGCCGGAGATTGTTGGAAACAACTCGAAAGTAAGTAAAATACTGTTGGCAAATAGTGTCCATTTATCAAAAACGGGCTGTACCTATGGTGTCCACATTAACAAGTCGAACATGCAATGACTCTTTATTTATAATTCAAACTTAATTTGAGTTAAGTTATTTTACTTACTTCTCAAGTTGTTTCCAACAATCTCCGGCTTCTGCCCACTTCGTGTGGCGTTGCGCACTTCACAGTATAACTTCCGGGTTAAAAAAAAAAAAAAGAAAACATTTTCCGTTGCAGCCGTTGTGTTGTGTTGCAGCTAACTGTGTTGTGTTGTGGTTTATTTTGTAGCGTTGTGGCTTATTGTGTTGTGTTGTGGCTTTTGTTTTGTTGTGACACTTCTGGGCCACCGTAAGCTCATTCTGTAGACCATAATCACCTGGACGCACCACACTATTATTCTGCTGTTGAGGAAAAAGACACTCTGGCTGTTTGTATTTCTTTAAACCAATTACAGTCGTCGTGAGCAGGTCTAAGCAAAGGACGGAGCTCTGCTGTTCCTTTATGGGTGGAATTGATGTGGTGGAACATTTGCATGCAGGATGGTGTTTTAAGTGAATAATCCACTGAAAAGGAACCAGTAGGTTTGCCTTTCTGCACAATCAAAATCTTCTGCAAAACTCTACATTTTCAGTCTGATAGTTAGCCACTGGTACCCAGCCAGGAGGTTGTTGTTATTCTGTAGTGGACTTTGAAAACATGCAAATAGCAGAATGAGAGGAAAAAGGTGCCTGAAGTGAGAGGCCAGTGGCCCGCATCCAACATCCAGGGAGTCGACTGGTGATAAATTAAAGGAAACACCCTCGACTTGTTTGGGGTATTTTGCTGGCATGGTTTGGGTCCACTTGTCCCCTCTGAGGGAACTGAATGCTAATACAAAGTTGTTCAGAGTGATCACCTTTTTATGCCGATGAAACATTTCTATTCTGATAGTAGTGGTTTCCTCCACAATGTTAATACCCCCATCTGTAGGGGTCACTGAATGGTTTGATGAAAATGATGTGAATCATTTTATGGTCTTCAGAGTCACCAGATTTGAACACAATTGAACACCTATAAGAGATTTTGGACTGAAGTGTCGGTTGGCGCTCTCGTCATCCAAACACTGAATGAGGGAATTGTTATACAAGTAGTAATTTGCTGTAGCCCCACATGCAGTACTCCAGAGTACTGCAGGAGTGTGTGAACACAGTTTTATAGCAAGATATGCAAATGAAGGAGAGGGAGAGCCGGGAGGCAGGGGGCCGGGGTGAGGCGAGAGCAGTGATACAGCGAGCGGCGCGAGGTAGTGGCTGGTGTGCTGCAGAGGGAGAGCAGAATGAATATTTCTGGTGGTGGCAGGACTTGAGCAGAGTTAGCAGGCAGGTTGCACAGACCAGCTGGGATCCTGAGGCACAGGAAGAACAAGGTTAACTGGCAGGCAAAACACAAGGAGCAACAGGTTACTGGAACTCAGTTGGCCGTAGAATTATGACCACATGGCAGACTGATAGATCTGGGAGCAGGGTTTAAGTTCAGCAGGGGGAGCCTGGTGACTCGGCGAGGACCAGGTGCGTTGGTGGATCGGCAGCCAGGAGCCTGATGATGGATCCGCACCCAGACACAGAGGGAGATAAACTCCTCTCCTCATTTCTCAATTTCTACATTCTCATCCCCTCTCCTTGTGTATTTGTTCCTCCTAGCAGAGCGATAGGAGAAAAGCGGCAAGGAAGAGACGAGAGGAGAGAGGAGTTGAGGCAGCTTTAAACAAAATGACACAGCGACCAAAAATGCTGCGTCAAAGCGGTTTTAATGAAACATGACGCGTGGCACAACTGCACCGTCTATCCATTGTCTTCTTATAGCCTGCAGCTGCATTTTCTCATCTCTGTCAGATGAACAGACGACTTACAGAACATGTTTCCTTGTGTTTCAGTTCTCAACATGGCATAACGTGTTGAGAGTTTTCTGAATTTTTTTGCATCTTGCATCTCATTGCACAGCATTTAAAAGCAACCATATCCTCAACCATTGTTCTTACATGCCATAAAATGACTTCAAGCTTAGAATTAGTAGACATAATGCAAAATGCGTGGCCGAAGTTATGCACAATCCAAGGATGTCGGATTAGAATCTATGGATTTTTTGGTTACCACTCGCATGTGCTGTGACACAAGACTACTGTGCAGATAAAGAGTGACACATGTGATGATTGAGTGATATGCATGCACATATTGTACACGTGCAATTGTCGGTCCTGCTCCTGCAATCGTTTGTTTGAACATTCCAGCTTCGTGTCACCTCTTCTGTGTGTCACAAGACTTCCACAAAGAACATATAAACCTATGTATAGTCGCTCACAGCTCCTTCTGCACGCCTCGCCTGTCCTCCAGATGCATTTTAAGAATTGAGACGTCCTTCAAGATGGCGCCCTAAGATTGATTTCCGGTTCGCAATGGGGGGAAGGCAGAGATCTGAGGATACGAGGAGGCTCAAAATAGAGAAATGTGACGAGTCTAAACAGGGAGATCACAAGAAACGCAGCGAAGGGGGGGAAACAGAACAAGACACCACAAAAGTATGACAGGAATATCTTTTGGAGGAATGATGTGTTATTCCTGCAGCAGAGTTCCGGAGACTTAGAGAATCAACGTGAACCGAAGCTGTTCTGGTGGCACTTGATGTCGCAACACTTTGCTAAGACGCTTTGTGTTTGTTTGTTTTTTCCTTTAATTTGTCACATTTATAGTTTGTGAAGATGCATTGAGATGAAGCCTGTGAAGACGGGGATACAAAAGCGATAGTAAAACAGTGTAACACGAGTTATATTACGCCCCTTAAAAGACCCTACTTATATAACTTACATCATGATTTTATTACAGCGCTTTGTATTATGCATGCAGCAAAGTTATATCATTAAGATTTACTGCCTATAAAGGAGTTTAATGCTAATCTACAAATAAAAAGTTGAGTAAATAGTGTTTAGGGCTGTTTACCCTCCACTACATCCCTGGATGCTTAATCTGCATATGAAAATAATGAAAGCAGCAGCGTAAATATTTCTCTTAGTCACAGCTGCTCAATAGCGGGGTTTACTTTTCCTCGCAATTTTGGTCCAGTTATTTCCTCTGGCAAGGTCACTTCTAATCACAGCTAAAATAACAATTCTGAGTGATTATCTGGGCCCGCAGGTTTTTGATAGCAGCGTAATAAAATGTCACTACCACCTTCTCAGAAACTCAAATGCTCAATTGGATAATGTCTAAGTGCTCAGAAGGCTTTGGCTCGTGGCCAGCATGATTGTAATTTCTATTCAGTCTGTTGGATCGCTACTCATGCCTTGTTGATAGAGGCATTATCATTCTGGAAGAGGCCGGTTCAATCAAGAAAGAAGCGCAACATGCCGTGAAGGTGATCATGCACATTGACTTCGGCGGAGTTAAGGATTTAGCTGTCTAAGTGACAAGGATGCGAACTGTAGCAGGGGAGACACACAAAACTTTATAGTGTTGGTGGCTCCAGAATAGAGCTTAAGCGTAGTTCCAGTAAAAGCTTGTTTTCCTTCCCTATAAGACGTCCATACTAATCCCGAACTGTATAGCTGGGCCCTAAACAAAACGCCAAATGTTCTCGCAGAAGCTTCGACAATAGCGCCATCAGGATCCCATGTGGTTATTAAAAAGGGGTTTGGCGTACATAACGTGGATATGGAGCTGCTTGATAGCCACTCATGTGTTGTGGATAAAGGCATCCATAAAGAGAGAAATACATTCATGGCAGGAAGGTGATCACTCAAACTGTTATGGAAGGTTAGAGATTTCCCACTCCTTTCAGGGATCATTGGATTAGTTCCATGGAAATCAAATAATGCAACCTCCAACACTATTATGGCTGTACATGTACTTGCTGCAGCGGCTTAACCGCCTAAGACACTTCCATATCAAGACACAAGACACGCATATGCATACAAAGGTGATATGGTAATTTAATATTTGTTAATCTCCTCCCCCAAATTGTAATTGTCCAATCACAGCCTACAACTACAGCTACTGGATTTCTGGATTAATGGATTTGTGCAGATGAAAGTTGTTAAGGAGAAAATTAAAGTGTTTTTTAGTCTCGTGCAATATCATGCAAGGATTGGCATTGAAAGGGAAAACCAACATAGTTAGTTCGTTAGTCTTAGTATGGTGTTGGGCCACCACATGCTGCTGTAAAAGCTTCAAAGCTCCTTGGTTTTGATTTTCCAAAGTTTCTGGAGTTACTGGGGGGATGAGCACCATTCTTCCAAAAGATGTTCCCTCCATTTGTTGTTTTGATGATGATGATGGTGGAGAGTGATGTCTTAGCATGTCCCCTTCATGCCCGATTGATGGAGGTGCTGTGGTCCTAGAAGAGACCACTCCAATCAGGACAGAGATGCGTCACAATAGGATAAAGCTGATCACTCAGAGCAACTTTGTATTGATTTGCAGTGACCCTTACCACTAAGGGGACAAGTGGAACCAAATCATGTCAGCAAAATGCCTCCCAAGGCAGTCAACAGATCCCTGCAACAACGAGGTCAGGGGTTTTTCCTTTAATTTGTCACCCAGCGGTAGCTTCCTACAACAGTAACCTGGACTTTGTGCTGTCATTGCAATGTGTCACATTTTACAGATGAACTGATGAACTCACAATATGTCAGAAATCTATTTTTTAAAATTACAGCTGGCTAATCTTCCACCAGTATAGCTGCAAACTGTATGTGGCATGCAAAAATAGAAAGACTGACAAATGTAGCAGCAGTAATTATGAAGTTAGTCAGTTAGCTTTAGGTCCTTTTCGGTTAAGCTCAGATTGTGGTTACTTTTAAGGTGTATTTTTGTAAATAGTTTATGTGCATTGTGTTCTTTTTTAATCTTATTGGGTCTATATCGGATTCTATCCAAATGTCTCGACTTGTGAAGAGTTCTACATACAAGTATTCTCTATATTAACCATATACAAGGATAATTTACTGAGTTTTTGGAAAATTCTTGTCAATTCTTGCTTGACTTGCAGCACACCAATTCTCCATTTCTGAGTGGATTTTAGCACAGGTGTGTTTGTTGAACAGCCGTCAAAGAGCTTCCATAGCTTGGTTCTTTGCCACAGCGCAGGATCAAATGTAGGCCCCTTACTTTGGGAATATGGAGTGAGAGTCATGGAGTCATGGGAAAACAAGGCATCCATTTGCCTGGCTGGAGCTCAAAGTCAATTACAGAGTGGAGGCATGCAGCCTGCTGATATGATATACCAGCCCTCTAACCCAAGGCCTCTTCTGTATTCGTTTTGTCTCTCTGTGTTTCACCTCTTTGTCTGTATGATTTCCTCTCCCTTGCTCACGCTCTCCTCTTCCTCCTTCCCTTTATTTCCCCTGTGACTTCTGCCCCCATCCCCCCTTCTTCATCATTCTTTTTCCAATTTCTCTCCTACCCCTCAATATCCTTTGATTCCCGCTGCCAACCCCCGTCGGCAGCGGTGAGTGCCCTGTCGCTGTCGCTGCGCCGTCAGAAGCGTGACTCCCTGTCGCCACTGGAGGAGGACGACGTCCGCGAGAACATCATAACATATGACGACGAGGGCGGAGGCGAGGCCGACACGGCCGCTTTTGACATCGCTGCCCTCCAGAGTGCTCCGCACAGCTCCCGCTCGCGTGGTTACAGAACGCTGGACAGCAGGAATGTGTGAGTAGGCAGAAGGTTGTGTGGGACAGTTTGTTCGCATGCGGTCATACATGTGTGAAGCTTGTTGTTTAATTACATCAGACCACACAGCTGGCCTCCTGTTACACGCTACAAGGAAGACCAGAAAGGAACCAAACTTAACCCTTTTGGTGTCAAAGCTTTCATTGCTTTCCAGCACTTAACTGAGCTACTTAAGCAGCTGATCGAGCCGTAACTCCTGGGTCATAATCAATCACAGATCAAAATGCTGAGACAGAAGGCTATCAAGCTTTGCAGTCCCCGGAGACCACTTTGTTGTGCTCATTTTGTTAAAGCTCATTTATGTTCAGCTACATCAGAGAGCTGTTTGCACCCACTTTGATGTTTCTGTGAAACATTGTTATTGCCTTTGGACTAATAATTAGCTCCCGAATTCATGCAAGCCATATGGAGAGGCCATAAACAAGTACAAAGACTGCTTTTAGTTTATCGGAAATGGCTTCTCGCAATTCACGGAGGTGGACACAACTGCATGCAAAACCTTCTAAATCTAATGCAATTCAGTGCAATATTCCTGCAATAATACTACCTGTGTGAAACTTAATGTTTCATTTTTCTTTAAACTGCCTCGGAGCGGTTGATAGGGAAACCTTACGGGAACTTTGAAGCTAGTGGTTTGCGGTTCTTGCATTGAGCTCGGACTGAGCTGGAAGATTTGGAGCCTGCATTACAAAAGTTTGTAATTTATTCTTCATATTCAGGACAAAAAGTAAGGTTATCTCGCCCTCCCCACTGTGCTGCATTACGTTTTTCTTCTTTTAAAACTCTGCAGAAGTTGGCCAACGTTATGGAAGTGAAAACGAAATCTCTGAAATACCCATTTGCTTGTTTATCTTGTCCACTGGGTTATTTTTTCCCAAGGTGTACAAATACCTTAACAAAATGCCTTACAATGTAGATATGATGCTATATAAAATGACCAGACAGTGACCCGGAGGGGCAACGAGCTGAGACACGCACCAGGAATACATAATGTCCAAATGAAGACACCAAAATTATCAGACTTAGCAGAGTTTTTTTTGGTCATTTTTGTGTTGTCTTACAGTCGCTACACCCATCGTGCTCAAGAAAAAGCTCGCACCTACAGCTGGGCTCAGAATCAAGGTGTGGATCACAACTACTCAGGACCAGGAGGACCCCTTTATGGTCGTCTCTGCTACAGCAGCCACACCTTACCGGTTCTCCGCCGTGCTCCAGGTGGGACATTTGAGCCAGGCTTGGCAGAGCTGGCATACCGCTTCCCTGGAGGCCAGCCAGACCACTCCCTGGTCATCCAGAACCAGGGGGCCATAGTCGGGCCGATGGAGTCTGGGGCGGTGTACATAGCCCCCACAGACCTGAGTACGGGAAGCCGAACAGGGAGTCGTACGGGAAGCCGCGACGGGACCGCACCACAAAGTGGGGTGAGCACGTCAGATGGAGGGACGCCAAGGACCACTGACAGCCAGGAGAGAGGTGGAGGGACGGGAACTGCGAGCAACTGTACAGAGGGCAGCAACGAGGACAAAGTCAACCACACTCAAGATGTGGACTGGGTAAGCATTACAATGAGCCTGCCTTCACACCAAATACGCAGTTGGAGGAACTGCAGTTCAGCTGGTCTGATTTGAACTCAGATACACTGACCTCCATGCTGAGTGTTTAGTTTATGGAATCTCCCATTTTGCCAGGGAAAAACAAAAATGTTAAAGCTCAATCATTTCTTTTCTTGGCATCATTGGGGAAAAATTCTATTCTAACTTTTCACCATATTGCAATTCAAGTGGTGGGAGAAGAAACTAGACCTCAGCACCTCCTATTAGCTTCTTTTTTAGGTGTCTCGTGATGGGAGCCAATCACAGGTCTTTTCAACCGAAACAGGTGAGCTAGTATAAAAGGCAACAAAGTCTAGTAAAAGAGGCTCAAAACAGAGAGGAAAGAGCTGCAGATAGAGGCTGTATATTTTTAAAATCTGTGTTTTGTTTGTTACTGATTTAGCTTTTTCCTTTTCTACACACTGCAGCTTTAAATTCATTTCAAGTTTGTATGTAGTGATACTTATTGATCCAGTCTACCAAGTCTCAAAAAACAGCTGAAGGGGGGATACTAGGTTATCAAGTTCATATTATTGCTTACATAGAAACGTTGCCTGTAGCATCCAAGATAGCTACTTTGCAGGACAAACTGTAATGCTTCAGTTAATGGTGTTCTCCAATCTACGTTGTGCAAATCACGCTTACCTGCACATCTGGTGTTTAATGCATGGATGGATGGACGGTTTTGGGAAGGAGAAAAAGTGGAAGATGTTGCACTGGATCAGGAATTCAAATTGTATAAATTGCTTAATTAATGATAGATGGCTGCATCGGAGGCGCCATTAAAGTTGAATGAATGACTTAATCGTTCAATTACGAAGGCAAACAAATAAGTAAGAAAGAAATGAAGCAAATACAAAGTAATTATTAAGTTTGCGTTCAACCTTATATTCCAGATTACTGCAGCGACTGCAACAATTGAATGTTTTTAATTTGTGTATGGAGCAGAGAGATTCAGGACAATGCTGGGGGAAGATGGTGATACAGACATGTCAGCACATTTATGTATATCCTGCTACTCTATATGTTTTATTTATTAGGCCACAGCAAGGCTCTGTTGCCCCTTGCTTTATTTAATTTTCAAATATTTTATCTCTCTATCACGTCCCTCTCCATCTCCCTCTCACAGTGCAGTGTTAGCTCATTCTAGTGTTCAATTAATATCTATGCCTTCTTCCAACTCTGCTTTTCTTCCGCTCTTTTCTGCTCAATGTGTGTCTCTCCTCCATCTAAATCTTTTTTTTTTTTTTTTTATCGTCACCATCTCCTGCTTTCCCTTCATTTGGGCACTATGTCATCACACTCTCCCATCTCTCTGCTTTTACTGTGCCTGTTATTAAATTTTCCCTCCTTGGGCAAATTGTCTCATCCCATTTTGTGTTACAAACCTAACACCCAACCCCAGCCCCGAACTGAAACCGCTCGTGCTCGCCTACGTTCCCTCCAGGTGCAGTCGGAGACGTTACCCAGGGAGCATAACCTGGTCATGACCCGATCCGGCTCCATGATCGGCCAGGGTCACGGCGTGGGTGGCTGGGTGTGCGACTCGGCTACCCTCCCCTTGGCGGGACGCAGGGCCTCCCGATCCGGCTTGTCCCCGAAACGTACGAGCTCCAGCGTGGCTGAGTCTGACTCCAGCGGAGGAGGAGGAGGAGGAGGAGGTGGTGGTGGCAATGGAGGTGGAGGAGGTGGAGGTGGAAACGGAAATGGGGCCACCTCCACAGATGGACAACAACAACCTCCAAGTGGACGCAACTATGCCACAGTCCTGCAGGGGGAGGTGTCTGGACAGAGGGACTACCCCGGCACCCTGGGGAGAGGAGGACTGGAGATGGGGAGCAACTTTGTGGTGGCGAGGCCAGACAGGGAGAACGGAGGAATATCACTGGCCGGGACTCCGTCGGTCTACCCGGAAGCAGCTGGCTTTATCGGGGACTGGCGCGATCGAGTGGGTCTGGGAGGGTATGTTTTGGGCAGGAGGGATATGACCCCGCAGATTTTATCCTTCCCAGGGCAGCCTCGGGGAGCGTACGGTGGAGTGATGGGCTTCGGGGCCAACTGGGTTCCAGGAATGGAGGCGGCAAGAGGGGCACCCGGGCCTGGGGGTCCTTCTTTGGCACTGAGGGTGGGTGAGTTTCTTCGTCTGCGTCTCGCCCAGGTCACTTTCGACCCCTCGCAGCCACCGTACGACTCTGTGCAGGTGTACGGCCTGGAGGGGACAGGGTCCAGGGCCGGATCCCTGAGCTCGCTAGAGAGCGAAGGAGAGAAGGATGCAGAGAAGGAGGATTGGGGAGCAGGGCTGGAAGAGTGGGGACCCCAGTTCCAGAAATTAGCCCAACTCTTCAAAGACAGGGAGAAAGAGAGGGATGATAAGGAAAAAGTTGAGGATGGTGCCAAAAAGGAGAGTGAAACGGCAGAGGAGACCGAGAAGAAAGAGGGAGGAGATCAGGCTGGAGAAGACTGAGAGAGGATGAAAATGACACAAATAGGGGTAAAGGGGTAAGAGAGGAAGGGAGGGAATAGGAGGATGATGAAAAGGCAACTAGAGCTAGAATAATGTGAAGAGAAGTTAAAGGGGAGAAAGATGAAGAGGCAAAGTAATAAAAAGAGACAGAGAAAAATGAGCCTAGGGAGGATGGAGAATGCGAGGGCAGGGGAGGGAGTGATTGATGTAATTTAAAGCAATAAGTGTTGAAACGCTGATATGGTTGAGCACAGATACTGAGACAATGCAGAGGCTGCTTCTGCTCGGGGCAGCAACAATTTGTTAAACGCTTTGGACAAAGAAAAACAACCCAAACATCCAAGACTCGATTTAATTCAGCGCTCACGTATGGAATAAGAAACAGCAGGAAACAAGGAGGAAGACGTCTCTCGTTTCGTGTGTTGACCTGATCTCCGTGTCAGCGCGTGTGTTCGTATGTGAGCGGAATCTGCGAGGATGTGTTAGCACAAAGGCATATATGAACTCGTATGTATGAGCGTGTGTGTGTGTGTGTGTGTGTGTGTGTGCATATTTAACAGAGACTGAGCAAAAGTGTCAGGGAGAAATCACGATACCCAGAGACAATTTAAAGACGACGCGAACGCTACGTGCTGCATAAGCTGTGACATTAGTTTTTCGGGACAATGTGCAAGAACAAACATTTAACATGGAAGTTCAGAAAGTAGGATAACACACGGGGGAATAAAGAAAAGAAAAGGAAAAAAATGATATTTGAACATAAAGAGAACGGGACGGCGAGGATGTATAGAGAGAGAAACGGTCTTGGAAGTGAGACGATTGTACAGAAACTGTTTTTTATTCCATCTGCAGTGGCAGAAAAGTGAATTATTCAGCTTGCTACTCCATTCCAAATGAAAATGATGAATCATTTAAATCCTGCAAAAGATTCTCCCTCCTCTCAGCCCACAAGGAAAACAGACATTGTGAAAAATTTAAATGATTTAGGGATGTGATCCCCTACACCCACCCCACTCTCGTTCCTCTCATCCCCCCCAGCTTTTTGTAGTTGAGTGTTGGTATGTTTACAAAGACTCACACACACACACACACACACACACACACGCTCACTCAAAAGAACTGATTAACACCACAAGGCTTTGATTGTACTACAGTAAATTATAAAAGCCAAACCATCCACGAATATTCCATCTACTATATGGAGTACTGATGACTCTACCATCGATCGCTTAAATGTTTTTATGGAAGAGTTCAGCTATTTTTTATTCCCACCCGCCTCCTCTTTTTCCCCTATAGTCTCACTTGACACACCTTGAGGACAAAGTATGCATGATATTTGAAAACAACAAAGCGGCAATCAATTTCCCCACTCTGAACGCTCATAGTGCCCAAATGAAAATTTTCCACACATCTGTAATGAAATTGTAGGGGAACAACACCACAGAGACTCCCGCAGCAGGCTTTTTGTTCTTGTTAAAGGTCAGGATGCAAATGAGCTGGAGTTTTCAGCTGGAATGCACTTTTATACTGTGTGATGTTCAATAATAGATAATGAATAATGTCAAAGACTACAGTTGTTTTATAAGATGTCAATTAAACAAAAAAGATACAAATGTTTGACTGTATGTAAAAGCATTTCAAATGTAAATACCACCTGAATATTATTGCTAAAAAGAGAGTATATAAAATGAAAAATGAGTAAAAAAAAACAAACAAACAAACAAAAAAAAACTTAGATGTCCAAATGGAGCACTGTCGGGACTATCTGTATGTACTGTAGATTAGAAATGGATTAACTCAGCTGGACTTTAACAGCCTCCTGGACTGAAAAACAACACCATGTATTCAACATCTGTGTTTGGGTTTGTTGTGTGCTAGCTCTTTGTCTGAGATGGACAAGCCAAGGATTCAATTATACATGTGGCCTCTGGCGGAAGTTTGTTGTGCAAAATTTTAGTTACAGGAAGCCTGTGAGCTGGCCTGTCCTAGTGAACAACCAATTTGATGAAAATCAAATGGAGTGGGGAGAAATTCCCCTATAAGGCAAACAAAGCAAACGAAAAAAACAAAATTCCCCTTAAAATCTGAAATGTTATTCTGCAAAAGTAGAACAATTCACTAAAATTGTAATGAGTTTTGCATTGCCTGGGAGACATGAAGGTTTTCTAGATTGTTACTTCTCTTAAGAAATATAATAAACGCCACATCAAGAGGAAGTAGCTTCTTTCATCTTTCGTGCATTTCAGGCAATGCAGCTCAAATACCAAATAATATGGTAATGTCTCTGATTTGAATAATAATTTAACCTTCAAATCTCTAGAATCTTCCTGAAAAGCTCACGTGTTTGAGTCCAGAGAGGATTTTCTAATGTTTTTTTTTTTTATTTGGCCACATATCTTAACTTTGAATGTGGACGTCTTTGGTGCACCATCGCAGAAATGTCACTGTTCTGTTCTCACTGGTTCACTGTAACGTCACTCAAGAGTCGAGTCGAGCTGCCAGCTTCGTTAGTGTCCACCAGTTTGGTCCGCCATGATCTTGTCGTCTTCTACTGTCAACACTTAGTTAAGCAATCAGGAAGTCAGGCTGCTTTCACTCAATAAAAATGAAACCCACGCGCACCTCTGTACTCCTCACCTGAGCCACAGACTTGCCCACACAGTGCCGCTGTGCGAAACCGGACGGCATCAGGACCAATGTACAAATACTGCACAATAACTGGAGACGAGTGGAGGAGGCGCAGAACCTCGGGGAAGACTGAGTTAAGATCAATTTTGGCTGATTAACAATATCTCGACTCTCTACAGCTACCTAAACCTTTCTTCAGCTATGTAGCGTTGATTAAAAATTCTAAAGGCGAATGGGCTATTAGACACTCAAGGGATGATTCTGGTTTATTACAGAGTGGAGCTTATTTGAATCCTTTCTGCTATACTTTCTATCAGTAATAACAACACTATAGGCAGCAAGTAAGTCCAATGCTGAGATCTGGAAATAAATGAAATTGCTAAAAAGAAGTCTAGTGGGGCAGCAAACACACGCTTACGTTTCAAATGTGAAAGTGTAAATTCAGCTATTGTACGGAGGTAATTATAGCTTTTCAATTATTTAGTGGTTTTTAAATAATAGTTAATTAATCACATTGGAAAGCATCTCCAGTGGGGATCAGACTGGAGGTGTAGATGTGATCTTTTTGCTCCGTGGAAGTTAGGGAGCAGAACCCATGTTTCCATATGGATGGCAAAAGAATTTAAAGCAAAGTTCTGAAATGTTGCCAAAAATTAAACAAACAAGAAAAAATGAATTAACTAGTGATGCACAATATTAAAATTTCTGGCCGATAACGATATCTGACATTCCGATTTCTGATATCACCGATAACGGATATTACCGATGTCAAAATTCAATTTTTGTTGACACCAAAAAATGAGTATCAGTAAGCACTGTGAGAACGTGAAAGCTATTCAAAAGCCAATACCAAATTAGATCACATGGTTTTTTTTTTGGTAGCCCTGCGATAGACTGGTTACCTGTCCAGGGTTTTCCCTGTCTTCACCCTGAGTCAGCTGGGATAGACTTCAGCCCCCAAGTAAGGATAAAGTGGTGTATAGATAATGGATGGATGGTCTTTATTTGTTACGTAACAAAAGTAAAACATATTTAAACATATTTAACATTCAAGTCCAGGACCATTTAAGTAAAAACATTTTTGAAATAGCAACAATATCAAACGTTGAGACAACGGCGCTGATGTTAGACAATCATCGATTTTTCACATCGGCTAAATTTATTCATCAGACCAATACCGATATATCGTACAAAAAACCCCCCACTAATATCAGCCGATACCGACGTGGTCGCCGATATATCGTGCATCTCTAGAATTAACCTTGTTTCCAATGACTGCTTTGGAACAAATAAGCTAAGAAGTATACTGTCATCAGGAGGTGGCAGTATAGTGTGGCTGTAATAAACAGAGTAGAAGAAACCACCACCTCCTGTGGACACTATACTTCTTAGCTTATTTGTTCCAAAGTAGTCATTGGAACAAATAAGCTAAGAAGTATAGTGTCATGACGAGGTGGTGGTATAGGCTACGTTAATCGTGGCTGTAATAAACAGAGTAAAAGAAGCCAGAAACAAAACCAGAGAGCATTCCAATTCTCATACTAACACATTATATAGTACCCTAGAAAAAGATTTAGATTTAGTCCCAGTAAATGGTATATTAAACGTCAAAAAATACTAGAATGTTCAAGTGCATTAGGTCCCATTTTCCAGTATGCAAGCCAGCCAGCATGCTTTTCTGGCCTTTCTGACCCACAATCCTCTGTGCAGCATGAGATATATCGCATACGTCACGGTGTCTCACTCAAGCAGCAAGCCTGAGCCGTGGAGAGTGCACAAACAGCTTCTTTCACACTGCAGACTGTGACAAATCTAGAAGCAAGATGGTCAAAGCTAAAAGCACAACGTCACGGCGAAATGGTATATCCCAACTGTGTCATACGGCATACAGCAGGACGTACTGGCGTAAAGACAGTTGTAGTACGTAATGAAAGGGAAAAGAAAAACAGAACTTTGGCCATCTATGAGAGGAAAATGAGGGGGAAAATAGTCTTCAGGGGTTGTTTTCAATTTGGAAAGTTGTAATTATTCTTCCATGTCAGCTGGTATTGGCCGTGTTTTATGCTCTCCGGGGATAACACAATGAAAAACATGGAAACTGATCATTCATATGAGCTGAATGTTTACTACAACAGAACCTGTTTCAAGAAGGTTTCCATCACCTATTATGCACATTAGTTCTTTTTCAAAAAACCTTGTCAACCCACTGTAAAAAACTTTTTGTGAAATTGGGAACATCTTTTTTAAAAACTTGCCGTTTCCATAAAACTCTCTAATGTTCTCGTTCAAATGTCACTATGGGAACATGGCTACTGAAGAGGATTAAACCAATGTCTGTCTCATAGTCCAGATATGTGATTTATCCATTAGTT